TCCACATGAATGTCACGTTCTGAAGGCTCTCTAACCACTGCCTTGGGTCTCGCCACAGTAATTCATCTTCACGATATCTTCCTCCTTAATTGTAGGTAGTCAATCTTACTATATCGTCATCATATTACCCCTAGTTACAGCTTTCATCGAAATAGCACTGGTAAACTGTTCGTAATTATTATTTTGGTTTGGTAATGAAAGGTCCCAGGGTTCGTCCGCCCCCCCCCCCCCCCAAAAAAAAAGTTATGACAAATCCACGCCCTTGGCATAGCTATTGATATGGTTTCAGGGTAGCCACATGTTCCTGAAGCAACGACGGGGAGCTTTGCAACATCTCCACGTTACTAGATTAACTTGCAATTCCCGAGCTAAGTCGCTAATATTTGGGACCTAGAAATTGACACAAATGGATCGCAAAGCATATAATAATGTAAAATAAATGTGTAAAAATTGATTTACATTCAATCGTTTCTGTTTTTACTGTAATTTCTAATCAGTTAGGTTCCGCGACATACGCCAGTATTCTTAATCAAATTTCAATCTCTAGCTTCTGGTTATTCCAGTCTACGCCGATAGTATTTATTGGGCATGCTCTCTAAATAAGAATATAGCGTCACCGTTTGACATGACTTGTGGAATATGCCCAGCCTTGTTTTTCGAGTCCCTTATTTCACATAGTGCTGAAACGCATTATGGTACACGATTCGTGTACCAATTGTAAAATGTTTATTTTGTCTTAAATATTGGATATCAGAAGGCCATCTTTTCCTGGTAAGATCACAACATCAATGTTGATTTAAATTGACAAATAAATCGTGTTTCCAATGTCGAAGATTTTGGAGGATATTGAGTTAGCTACTTTAAAGCAACGTTTTCTCCCTTTACTGCAGGCACGTGGATAGTAGCGTCTAATCAGAAAGTGTGACACTAAGACAATCAAATCAACTATAGCGACCTCCACGGAAACCTTGGCATTGAACAAACCTTGAACTTTGCAACTATATTATCACAGGTAGACATCGCAGACAAGTTATTGTGAATCAAATTGCCAAGTATAAGTTCATTAATAATAAACATAACAGAATGAAACATTTCAGACAAGAACGAATAGTAATAATAATAACAAAAGTTAAACATATTGATGTTACACATATTTGGAATCAACGAAATACAATCAAATATAAATGAATTAGAAATATATACATTATTTACATAAATCATTCAGTAAATGGACATGAATATGGTTATCTACCCTTATAAAAACGAAGGCGAAACGACAGGTTTGTAAAATATTTTTTGATTGGTTCGTAGACCATAGGCTACCTATAATCAAGGCCAGGGCAGATAATTTGATATCGTGGAACCCTATGGATTAACCCAGGGTATAGTAGAGTAGAACAGAATGAGTACACTGGGGATAACGAGGATGTCAAGCTGGGTGAATACCCAATCGAAATTAGTGCCGAAATATGTAGGGTATTACGTGACAGCCTTGATATGATGTACGGAGTGAAAAAGCGAGATCAAGCTTTCTATTGGTAATACTATGGCCTCAATGTGAACGACGGACTCACCCTACCTGCAGAATTAATTTTCGTCCGTTAGTTACGTACGAGGTCATGAGGTCACATCAACAAACAAATGTAAACACCATCATTATGATCATTATCAACATTACAAGACACAATTTTACATTGTAAACAATAGCCTTCTTGCAGCCTTTAGGACTGTATAGTCCGTACAGAACGTCTTATCGCTTCTTCCAATGATTTTTCACAAAAATAACATCATCTACAGCTCTAGATTTGACGTCGGCATATTGGCACTATTTTGTGCTTCGGTCGTGTCTATTTCAGATATACACAACCAATTCTGTTAATGTTTTTAGCGTGGGGATTGACTAAAAGTTAATTTGTTTCAGTTCTAAACAAAAATTTAAAACTTTAACGCAATTTTAAAAAAATAGCCAAATTCTGGCTGGGATTACTGAGCAAAATCGCCATTCACTGTATACGTGCGAAAAAAAAAAAGCCAGCTACCATTTAATTTTCGTACGTTAGTTACGTACGGCTATGACTCCCGACTTCATTGTTTCGGGTTCGATACTAATCATACGTTTCTATTAAAATTACAAATTAAATTACGCGTTGCATATGTGTCGTAGCTGTGAGTTGTTCGCGTTAATAGATCCATATGTTGTATTAAAATGAATGAATTATTGTGTTGGTGAAGCTTTGAATATGGGGGAAGGGGGGGGGGTGTCCAAATCTAGGGCGCCATCCACAATCCGAACCCACAATGAATGTCAACAAAATACCGGCTATAACACTGTCTGAGCGCTCCCTGGTGGAACATAGATCGTATTGACATATAGTTGTTCGCCGATCGATATCTTGCCAAAAAGCCGTTTATTCAAGTCGACGTAAAGTTCATGTCATTGTATGATTGTTATTGATTTTTGTCAACCTTAGAGGTGTGACTATAACATTGAGCAACCTAAAGGGGGGGGGGGTCTCCCTCTGAGAAAATTTTAAAAATTTGAGTCGATATTCTGGGTTTTGAGGTCATTGCTGTCACTTAATATGTAATTTGGGACTGGCTCTGCGGGGACTCTGTCTCATGGGGACGCTTAATTGGACTCACTTGGTCTCACGCTTACTTGGCCTTTTGGTGACACGTTAAATCATTTTTCTTTTGATTTACATCAGACGAAAATTACAAATTAAATTACGCGTTGTCGTTTGTGAGTTGTTTGTGTTAGATAGATCCATGACTAAATTCTTTATACAACCCGTATCCGTTCTCTACCGGAAATGAACTTGGGAAAGGAACAAGGGCAAGATTTCCTCTTCGTTATTTTCCCTTTTATTGAACCCTCAACAAATTGACTGTTTACCCAATAATTTGAACATTACAAACTAGATAATGGTAAGTAGAACTGTTACAATCCAAGCCACATCGAATGTTGCTTCAATTCCAATTTAAATTTAGATTGCATAAACAAAGCAAAATTACTTAAACTTGCATTTTGTAAGAACTAAATCTGGCTATTGCAGGTCCATCTTTAGGCTTTAAATGTTATATAAACTATTAATTAGACATTAATATGAAAAGACCATAATCAACTCTCGATGCCATCTTATGTGTCTGATTTTCATTGGATTCCAACCTGATCTGCTGTTCAACGCGCATTGATGATTAAATACAAAAATGGATAATCGAGACTGTTAGTTATCATGACAGCAGTAACAATGACAATCGAGGCTACAGGGATTTTAAAATAAGATTGCTTAGAGTGAAGCAATTTGACTGAAATTTTCAGCATATTACCTCTACATTACTGTTATCTAGTTTTTAATGATAGTGAGAACTGCCAGCTCTTTATCTAATCTTCTATAATGTATCTTTAAGAACTGTTAATTTAAAGGGGCATTGTATAAGATTTAGATACAGTAATATTTTAAAAAATAGATAATGCAAAATGAATATATTGAAAATTTAATTCAAATTACTTAATTTTGAGCAAAGTTATCGATTGTTGTGGTTTTGACAAAATGTGTGAATTGATCGTAACTACTGTAGGCTACTGGTCATATAATAATAATAATAATGGACATTTATAGAGCGCCAACATCCAGCTAGATTAGCAGCTCTGGTGCACTGTAAAAAGTGAAAAAAATAAGGTTTAAAGATCGCACTGGGGAATCATGAAAACTTTAAAGAAATGTGTTTTTAGTTTCTTTTTGAAAATGTTTATGTTGTCTGCACTTTTCGGTTCAAATGGAAGCTCATATGGGCCTAAGCCTCGATTTTCCATTTTTAAATTAAATCATTAAATGGCCGAACCATTTTAATCTACTTAAAATCATAAGTAGCCGGTGGTATCGGTATCAAGAGTTGATTATGGTCTTGTCCACACTGATCAGCAGTGAATATTTGTTAGGCAGCTACAATCACTGATAAGGATGACATTGATGCGACTTAATGAGCCACAAATATTAACTTATTTCCTCCGACAAACTCAATTCTCAAACATTTTTATACGCCCAGAATTGTTTGTGGACTCGACAGGTCACAATTCTTATCTGATTTTGACGAAAATTGAAATATAGATTTATCTCCAAAAGATCTTGTTTGCTTTCGATATTGGCATATATTGGATCGAAACTTCATGAATTATGGCCCCTGATTGTACGAAAAATCTCGCTTTTAGCTTGTGGACACTCTAGAGGTCACAATTTTCACCCGATTGTGATGAAACTTGAAATGCATGTTTATGACCCAAAGATCTTGGTTCCTGTTGATATTCGCGCATATCGGATCGTAACCTCCTGAAAATTCGGTCCCTGTCCCTGATTGTACGAAAAATCGTGTTTTTAGCTTGTGGTTCCTCCAGAGGTCACAGACAAAATCCCCCCCCCCCCCCCACTTGTACGCAAATAGTGTAAACATCGGGTATATCAAGGTTATGGACCCTCTAGAGGTCACAATTTTCACCCGATTTTGATGAAACTTGAAATGCATATCGAACCATGGTCCATGAAGACAAATTGACAGTGATGTTGTGTGCTGTTAAATAACATCTATTTTGCTTAAAAATGAAAGTTTCCCCGTCTCGCAATTTTATTGGAATGGTGAAATTAGGGATAGACATTACCCTGAATTTTTATAGACATTATTCTAGTTGTCGCTGGCGACATTACAGAGAAATAATGATGTTATAACTTTTATATATAACAGGAAACTGATGATGTTATAACTTTTATATATAACAGGAAACTAATGATGTTATAACTTTTATATATTACAGGAAACTGATGATGTTATATAACCTTTACATATTACAGGAAACTAATGATATTATAACTTTTATATATTACAGGCAACTAATGATGTTATACCTTTTATATATTACAGGAAACTAATGAGATTATAACTTTTATATATTACAGGAAACTAATGATGTTATTACTTTTATATATTACAGGAAATTAATGATATTAAAACATTTTATCAATGTGTTGTATGTGACAAGATTTTTCTACAATATGATGATTTAGAAAAACACACAAAAATACATGTTAAAGAAGAGAAAACTGATGATGTAGATGAATATTGTCATGTTAAAGAAGAGAAAACGGATGATGTAGATGAATATTGTCATGTTAAAAAAGAGAAAACTGATGATATTGAAGCCATTTATCAGTGTAATTTGTGTGATAAAGAATTTAAATTAGAAACTAATTTAGAAAAACATTGTGAAGTACATGTTAAGAAGGAGGAACCTGTTTTACAACATGGTAAACATATGGAGACAAGTTTTAGTGAGAATAATGAAAAAGAGGTTCACAACCCAGAAGAGTTTAAAAAGTGTGATGTTTGCAGCAGGACCTTTATTAACAAATATTACTTACAAAATCATATGAAAACCCATACTGTAGAGAGACTCTACAAATGTGATGTTTGTGGCAAGTCATTTATTAACGAAGATTTCCTTCAAATTCACATGGAACGTCATACTGGTCAAAAACCTTATAAATGTGATGTTTGTAGTAAATCATTTACTAACAGTAGCGATTTACAGATCCACATGAGAATGCATTCTGGAGACAAGTCCCATAAATGTGATGTTTGTAGTAAATCATTTACTAATAGTAGTTATCTTCAGAAGCATACGAGAATTCATTCTGGACTAAAAACACATAAATGTGATGTTTGTAGTAAATCATTCTCAAGCCGTAGTCATCTACTGAGACATATGACAATTCACAGTGTAGATAAACCTTTTAAATGTGATGTTTGTAGTACATCATTTATTGACAGGTTTGGTCTTTGGAAACACGCCAAGATTCATACAGAGGAAAATTCTCTAGAAAAAGATATCAAAAGTCATACTGTAGAACTAGAAAAACCTTATATATATGATGTTAGTAATAAATCATTCAATCAGAGTAATTATCTAAGTGCACCCATAAGAATTCCCACTGTAGGAAAACCCCATAAATGTGATTATTGTAATAGATCATTTATTTATAACTGTAAGCTACAGATACACATGAGAATTCATAAAGGGGAAAAGCCCTATAAATGTGATGTTTGTAATAAATCATTTACGTACAATTCTGTTCTAAGTGCACACATGAGAATTCATACCGGTGAAAGACCATATCAGTGTGATGTTTGTGGTAAATCATTTACTCACAGCAGTACTTTTCAGAAACACAAGAGAATTCATACAGGAGAAACCCCTTATAAATGTGATGTTTGTTTTGAAACATTCCGTTATAGTAGTTATCTACAAGCGCACATCAGAACTCACACTGGACAAAAAATGGAATGAAATGGGGGGTTAATGTCCCACTGTAGGCTGCACTGGAGAAAAGATGGAATGAAATTGGGTTAATGTCCCACTGTTCTGCTCTCACTGGAGGCTGCACTGGACAAAAAATGGAATGAAATTGGGTTTAACATCCCACTGTTCTGCTCTCACTGGAGGCTGCACTGGAGAAAAAATGGAATGAAATGGGGTTTAACATCCTACTGTTCTGCTCTCACTGGAGGCTGCACTGGAGAAAAATGGAATGAAATGGGGTTAATGTCCCACTGTTCTGCTCTCACTGGAGGCTGCACTGGAGAAAAAATGGAATGAAATTGGGTTTAATGTCCTACTGTTCTGCTCTCACTGGAGGCTGCACTGGAGAAAAAATGGAATGAAATTGGGTTTAATGTCCCACTGTTCTGCTCTCACTGTACACTTGAGAAAAGCTTTTTACATGTGATGTTTGTAGTAAATCATTTACTGTCAGTAGCGATCTACAGAGACATATCGGAATTCATATTTGAGAAAAACCCTTTGAATGCAATGTTTGTAGTAAATCATTTACATACAGTAGTCAACTACAGAGACAAATCAGAATTCATACTGGTGAAAAACCCTTTTAAATGTGATGTTTGTAGTAAATCATTTACTAACAGTAGTCAACTACAGAGACATATCAGAATTCATACTGGTGAAAAAAACCCTTTTAAATGTGATGTTTGTAGTAAATCACTTATGGTTCATTCAGGAGAAAAACATTTTAATTGTGATGTTCGACCGAAAGACGTGGTGTTAATGTAAATATAGTTTCATTAGTGACAAGTCTAGATCACACAGTCCCTTTGTTAAAGATACATTATGGGAGATGAGATAAAGAGATGGCAGTTCTCGCTATAATAGTTAAAAACTAGATAATGTAAAGGTAATTTGCAGAAAATTTCAGTCAAATTGATCCACTATGAGCCAAGAAAGAAGCGGGTGAAATTTTTGCCTAGTCTCGGTCATCATTACTAAAATCATTAATATAAACAGCACAGTCTCGATTATCCACATTTTTTGATTTAATTATCAATGACCGTTAGCGGCATATAGGAATCTAATCCAGCCAACATCGAAGGCTAGCCTTGACATCGAGAGTTTATTATGGTCTGGATAAATTAATTAATGTCTAATTGATAATTTAGATAACATTTCAGGCCTAAAGAAAGACTTGTAATAAACAGATTTTGCTCTTGCATAATGTATGTTTAAACTATCCCTTGTACCAGATTTTGCTAGGGACTGGGTAATACTACTAATACCCATGACCCAGCATTCTGTCACATTTGGTCCAACGAAGTTAGTATTCAAAAATTGATGTGGCTTATAAAGTTGGATTTGTAAATAATAATGATTTGAAATAATCAACTTAGTGACATTGGGGGTTGTGTAAAAATTAAATGTCGAGGAAGAAATGTCTTCACTTAGTCAAAACAATATGGCGTGTAATATGCACTATACGGTTGTTGTCGTTGACTATGCAACAAATAACTTTTATAAATGAATCTTGCATTGGCCGAGAAAGTTCATCCAGATTTTCTGGCGTGGTTCTCCCTTGTCAGTGATGCAGGACAGAGGGGCTGACAATGACAGCTGTCTAGTCGTTCGGCTGGGACGAAAAACCGAGGTCCCGTGTACACATTGGCATGCACGTAAAAGATCCCTAGGCAGTTGGAATTTGATATAAGAGTAGGCCGTGGTGCCGCTGTCTGGGCAAAATTTCCCTTATAGCACACTGTATGGCGTATGCCCGTCTTCATTAGCCCAGGTTAGGAGCAGAACAGAAGGACGTTAAACTCCATTTCATTTCATTTATAAATGAAACTATACGATACTAACAGATCAAAGACGTCATTTTATATACTTAAAGAAGCTAAATCGCTAATATTTGGGACCTAGAAATTGACACAAATGGGTCGCAATGTATATAATAATGTAATATGAATGTATATAAACTGATTTACATTCAATCGTTTTCGTTATGTTCGACGATATATGCCAGAAGTCTCAATCGAATGGCAATCTCTAGCGTCTGGTTATTCCAGTCTACACCGATAGTATTTATTGAGCATGCTCTACTGTAAAGAAAATGGCGTCATCGTTTAACATGACTTGTGGAATATGTCTAGCCTCGTTCTTCTAGTCCCTTGTTACAAATGGCGCTGAAATGCATTATGGTACACGATTCTTGTACCAATAGTAAAATGTTTATTTGGTCTTAAATATTGATATCAGAAGCCCATCTTTTCCAGGTAAGATCTCAACATTAATGTTGATTAAATTGACAAATAATTCGTGTTTTCAATGTCGAAGGCTTTGGATGATATTGAGTTAGAGACTTAGCTACTTAGCTAAATCTGCCTATTGCAGATCTTTCTTTAGGCCTGAAATGTTATCTAAATTATTAATTAGACATTAATTAACTTATCCAGACCATAATCAACTCTCGATGGCATCGCTAGCCTGCGATGTTTATTGGATTACGTTCCGATTTGCTGTTCGACTTCCATTCATAATTAGATAAAAAAATGGATAATCAAGACTATGTTTTTTATCCTATCTAGATGGCATCGCTAGCCTGCGATCTTTAGTGGATTATGAGCCGATTTACTGCATAACTTTCCTTCACGATTTAACGATTAAATGGATAATCAAGACTATGCTGTTTATCGTACTTAAGTAATGATGATCGAGGCTAGTTTTTAACTATTATAGTGAGAATTGCCAGCTCTTTATCTAATCTCCCATAATGTATCTTTAAGTGCCAAGCGATTTGTTTCCTCGTCGAGTAGCTCATTAGTGTGTAGAACGATTGGCATTGTATATTATAGCTTATTATATGTTGTTATTATTTTCATTGTTATAAATCCCTGTTTGTACGTGACAAGGAGTAGGGTCGCCTGTCCAACCTTGTGGGTTTTCTCTGGGTCCTCCGGTTTCCTTCCACCGTTAAAGACTCCTACGCGCAAGCAAATTATAGAAATAAGTTAGTCCCGAAATGACCTAGTTTGTGTGGAGTGGATGTTAAACCCCATTTCTCTCTCTCTCTCTGTAACAGTAATAGTTATAAAAGCTTATTTTTCAAATGTAAAAAGATTTTCACACGACTCTTCTGTGCTCATAATGTCATCTTAAATATTTGTTTCAATAAAAGTCCTGCCAATATTTGTACTTTGTTCTTTTTTAACCATTAGTTGTCATTCCATGATGAATCCATACAGGGGGGTTGGATGGCTGAATGGTTAGCACGTGCGTGCTGTATCATAAGGCCTGTCATCGAGTCAACTGGCGTGGTTTCGAATCCCCGGTTGTACGTGACAAGGAGTAAGGTCGCCTGTCCAGCCTCTGTACGTGACAAGGAGTAGGGTCGCCTGTCCAACCTCGTGGGTTTTCTCCGGGTCCACCGGTTTCCTCCCACTGCTAAAGACCCCTACGCGCATGCGAATTATTGAAATAAAATTAAACCATATGTTAGTCCTGAAATGACCTAGTTTGTGTCGAGTGGACGTTAAACCCCATTTCTCTCTCTCTCTCTGTCCAGCCTCATGGGTTTTCTCCGGGTCCTCCGGTTTCCTCCCACTGCTAAAGATCCCTATGCGCATGCGAATTATTGAAATAAAATTAAACCATATGTTAGTCCTGAAATGACCTAGTTTGTGTCGAGTGGACGTTAAACACCATTTCTCTGTCTCTCTGAATCCATACAGATATCAAATGCAGTCTGCTCCAAAACGTGCCAGTCTGTATGTAACGGGAATAAATATAAATTGTAAATAACATAACACGCCGTTTTTCTGGTTCTCACACCCGTTCAATTGTCTTCTAGTAAAGTAAAGACAAGCAAAACGAAATTATAAATCTATACAAAACGAAACGAAATGGGAACAGTGTTTTAATCAGTTTGATGTGAAAATTAATGGTGGTCTTCCTTCTGGTCGTAATTATATTCAACTGCCAAATATGTGTATGTCTCAATGTTGCAAAATGAAATGAAATGAGGTTTAACATCCTACTGTTCTGCTCCGTACTGGGCTAATGAAGATGGGCATACGCCATACAATCTGCTATGAGGGAAATTTTGCCCGGACAGCGGCACTACAGCCTACTCCTATATCGAATTCCAACTGTCAAGGGATCTTTTACGTGCATGCCAATATGTACACGGGACCTTGGTTTTCAGTCCCATCCGAACGACTAGACAGCTGCCCTTGTCAGGCCCTCCGTACCGCATCACTGACAAGGGGGAAACGCGATGGAAAATCTGGATGAACTTTCTCGGCCAATGCAGGGATTGAACACCTGACCTCCAGGCTAGCTAGTCTCGATATTGCATCTTTCATTTAATATAGATAGACAGTGACATATTAATTGTGAGTTACTCGCGTTTGATAGATCCAGGGATTAATTTAGGATACAACCTTCTAGCTGTTCCACCGGAAATGGGGAATCCCCGGAAATGTACTTAGGAAACAAAATGGCAGTTTTACCCGATGGTTTTCAACCCATCCAGCTCTTTCGTGTCAACTAAAAGAAATTACCTGTTGTTATATTTGTTTTACGAACAACGACATCACCAATCATATTATGGTAAGTTGACCTGGATGGTGGATATGGGGACTTAGCTTCCACATCAAAGCCAAAACGTTGAGATGTATAGTAATGGTAGTTACTCTCTAGTAACGAAAATATCAAGAGTCCTAGTACCTGGCCTCTATCCGTTACTGGGGAGGTTTAATGACAACTAGTATGAAAATAAGACTTTTCCTCATCTCGGTTCTAAGGCTATTTTGGAATCCTTACCGCCTATTTTTTACCGTGATTCTTCTTTGATCACCAACAGGAATCATTTCCTGACACATCTGAAACAAATTTATAATAATCCAACACTATTTTCATGTAGAATTGTACGATACAAAAACACAAACAACATTCATTTGAATGAGGTGGCCATTGTAACTGAACAAAAATTTTGCATAGCAGTTGGGTTAAATCATATAATTATGCGGTAAGGTTTCACCTTTATTTCAATGAGAATTGGTTTATTATATGTTAAGCTATGTACAGTACAGTTTGGATCAGTGTAATTGGAAATTAAGCGAGTTATAGGCCAGTAACTTTTTTGTAGTCAAATGACTACAAAACTTGCGCAAAGGAAGGCCTTAGGACGGTCCACTACTGTGGCTGGAGTAAGACGGAAGACATCAGTAGTGGAACCATTTCTACCCCAACCCCAGTTTAAGTCGTCCACAAAGCATCGGTTAATTCGTCTACAACTAATGGTTAAAGTAGCCAAATCTGTAACTCAATATCATCCAAAGTCTTCGACATTGAAAACACAAATTATTTGTCAAAAACACATTCGACCCAACTTATGAAAACAGCTTTCGTTCGTCTGCAAAGTTATATAGCTTTTTGAGCCTTCTGCTGAACCATCTGAGATATGCAAACTTGAGGCCTGTTTATCAGATATTTGTAAATGGATTGACTCAAATTTATTAAAACTCAACAGAAATAATAAAAGTGGGCAGCAAGCAGCAACTACTAAAATCTAAAACAGAAAACTATCAAATTGGCAATATCTCTATTACACCAACAGATTCTGTAAAAAAAACCTTGGTGTTTATTTTGACTCGTATCTGGACATGAAAAGACAAATTTCCGCCATGTGTAAAAGTATTAATTTTCAGATTTATAATGTTGGAAAAATTAGATCTTTCATTGATAGTGACACGACTAAAATGCTGGTAAACACTATGGTTACATGACGACTCGACTACTGTAATTCACTTTTGTACAATCTACCTGAAAATAAAATCAAACGACTTCAGAAACTTAAAAATAAAGCAGCCCGGATCATAACGAAGACGACACCAAATTTAGAATATTGTCTATTACGTATATTCTGCTCTAAATGACAATTCTTCACCTCAATACCTTAGAGACCTTCTCAACACCAATAAACCTTGCAGAACCCTTCGATCACAATCAGACACCCTCTTAATTAAGCCTTTTCCCAAAACCAACTCCAGTGATAGATCTTTCGCTGGTTGGTGCTCTGAAGTTATGAAATTCAATATCAAATGAAAGTGCAAGTACTATTAAAGGTTTTAAAAAGTATCTCAAAACTGAATTTTTTAATCAAATATACAACTGATTGAATACGGTTCTAGTTGTGTTTGTTTCAAGAATTTTACCATGTGTACTAAATAATCGGCAATACTATATACCGGAAAACATCATTTTATACTGAATACTGGAAAACACCGGAAAAACACTAAATACCGGAAAACACACTAAATACCGGAAAACACACTAAATACCGGAAAACACACTAAATACCGGAAAATACCCTAAATAGGTAACCCGGAGACTGGCACCCTAAATAGGTAACCGGGAGCCTGGTCCTCTGTGTGCCTGGGTTAGGGTTAGTTTCCAGTTTATAGTATAGCCCTTTTCCGGGTTACCTATATAGGGTGGTTTCCGGTATTTAGTGTGTTTTCCAGTATTTAGTGTTTTTCCGGTGTTTTCCGGTATTCAGTATAACATGGTGTTTTCCGGGTGTTTTTCGGTTGTTTTCCGGTATATAGTATAGCCCCTAAATAATGTTCTCCATTTTATGTTTATGTCTTTTTGTATGGATTAATGTGTTGTTTTTGTTGTAAATTTATATTAGTTGTACTTATGTAAAGCACCCGAGATCAGCTCGCTGAGTTAAATTGTTCGCGATATATAAAACAATTATTATTATTATTATTATTTTATACAATCAGGACTAATTAAACATACTCGACCCAATTTAGGAAAACAACTTTTGTTTGTCTGCAAATATTGTCGACAAACACAAGCCACAATTTTATGGATACACAATTACTGAGTTTAATACTAAGCAACGTTTTTACGAGGATACTCTCGTCTTTATTAAGCAAATGATGCAGGTATGTGAATAGTAGGCAAATATATACAGAATATGCAACAAAAATAACAATTAAATACAATTAAAACTTAACACCTTTGATTAGGGGGCCATTTACAACTAAACCTACACACGGAAACCGAAAGTGGGTCAAAATGGCCCATAATGGTCATTTGACCTTGACTTTTAAGAGTCAAACTCTTATAGGGATTAAAAAGTTAATAAACCAGTGTTAATTAATTGGTTCAGACATTCATTATAATTTTGCATTCGTCATGTGCAACACGAAGACGTTCTGTACATGTGATTTTAGTTTGTTTTACTCAAATATTATGATTAACTGTTGGGGGTCACGGTGGGAAAGACGCTGGCTGGCTAGCCTGGCGGTCGGGTGTTCGATCCCTGCATTGGCCGAGAAAGTTCATCCAGATTTTCCGGCGTGGTTTCTACTTGTCAGTGATGCAGGACGGAGGGCCTGACAAGGACGGGACAAAAAACTGAGGTCCTGTGTACAAATTGGCGTGCTCGTAAAAGATCCCTTGACAGTTGGAATTGGATATAAGAGTAGGCCGTAGTGCCGCTGTCCGGGCAAAATTTCCCTCATAGCACACTGTATGGCGTATGCCGGTCTTCATTAGCCCAGTTTGGAGCAGAACAGTAGGACGTTAAACCCCATTTCATTTCATGATTAGCTGTTGTACATTTCGTATATTTAGCTCCGCCTTCATGGAATTAAAATGTCAAACCTGTTCAAAATGTTGGGAAATGTGATGATTAATTGTGAGTTACTCGCTTTGGATAGATCCAGCAATTAATTTTTTAAAAATGTTGGGAAATATGATGATTTGTACCTGTGTCAGGTAGGATTGTCTACGTACCTGTCCTGTGTCAGGTAGGGTTATCTACGTACCTGTGTCAGGTAGGGTTATATACGTACCTGTGTCAGGTAGGATTGTCTGATTTTGTTTGATTGACAGCTGAGGTTTCTTGTCTAATGGTGATTATACCACTAAATCCTAAGAGTGTTTCCCCGGTTGTACGTGACAAGGAGTAGGGTCGCCTGTCCAACCTTCGTGGGTTTCCTCCGGGTACTCCGGATTCCTCCCACTGCTAAAGACCCCGACGTGCAGGCGAATTATTGAAATAAAATTAAACCATATGTTAGTCCCAAAATTACCTGGTTTGTGTCATGTGGACGTTAAACCCCATTTTCTCTCTCTCCTAAGAGTGTTGCAACTACAATGACCATGATCCAATATGATCAAACAAAATTCATATCACTGTAGTATTTAAAGGGACAATAACATTCTTGCTGGCCAGACAGCTCTAGTAAATAAATATTAGCCTTATTCTAAGTATTAGATGTTTAAGTGTCCTACCTTTTGTGTAAATTATCCATTACATCCTATTTTACTTGTCCAGAGGGTTCGAAAATATTTTTAAATCCAAGTCACATTTGAAAAGGTTTACGTTGGGCTTTTCAAATCATTTAGTTGAATTTTTCCAATTTTTTAAATTAGGTGTGTTAAGATGAAATTTAAATCATCAATTAATTGGAATACTGTAAAATAGTACAATTTGTTGACCAGAATGAAGATTGGGACATATTATTCAGTTCCAACAAGAGTGGTATTGAGCCTTTAAACTACAGTACACGGCTAGAGTGCGGGACTAGAATTGTCAAACACGGCGGAAAAGCGCAGACTTTCGCGGTGTGCCCTTGGCAAATAGCTGGCGTTCCAAATCGCGGTGAATCACAGAGTTTTGCATTAGATCACAGAGTTTTGAGATGGAACATGGTGAATGGCTTCGCTTGCGTGCCGATATCCCGATTCTAGCATTTGGAAGAAAAATGTACTTTATTTAAGTTGAATACATGTATGTCAATCGTGAGCAAGGAAGCTAGTGTCAAACTAATATTGTCTACAATAAATTTTAATGTTGCCATGAAAACGTGTACATGTATAATGTACAGGCTGGTTTGAATAATAATCCAACGTTCACCAGTATATCGGTTAAATGAAATTTTGAAGTACATGCATCAGGAGGGGTTATAAATGAAATGAAATGGAGTTTAACGTCCTACTGTTCTGCTCCTAACCTGGGCTAATGAAGACTGGCATACGCCATACAGTGTGCTATGAGGGAAATTTTGCCCGGACAGCGGCACTACGACCTACTCTTATATCGAATTCCAACTGCCAAGGGATCTTTTACGTGCACGTCCTGCATCATGGAGGGGTTATACATGTATGTGAAGAGTGAACAACTTACAATTTGGTCTTCGTCTATAACTTCCACATCATGGCAAGTAGATGTAATCCATTAATTGTTGACTGCTATCAAATCCAAATTTTAAATTATATACGATTATACAATGAACTTTTACACATTACTTCATTACCCGCAGATTCAGATAATCTAATTTATCAATCCATAAAACAGTGTCATACCTTATAAATCTTTCCGTAATGTGCAAAATGGCGAGTCACATGGTAAAAAAACACGCCAACGTTTCCATGTATGTGCATTTTTTAAATGAGTACGACTTAGCTTGCTGCTATTGGCATTTATTTTGCTTCCTACAGGAAACTAATGGTGTTATAACTTTTATATATTACAGGATACTAATGATGTTATAACTTTTATATATTACAGGATACTAATGATGTTA